AGAGAGAGAGAGAGAGAGAGAGAGAGAGAGAGAGAGAGAGAGAGAGAGAGAAAGAGAGAGAGAGAGAGGCTATCTAGAAGAACCCTACGTACACCTCTGTCGGAGCACGGTAGGCGTTTATTCTCCGCAAAGAGAGCGATTCCTGTTTTGAGGGCACGTAGCTCTCCTCACTCCTCCCCTGCGAGCGGCTGCGACAGTGCCAATACTGTCAGTACAAAGCGATGAAGAGCGGTCGATCGTCTTTCGTACGCCGAGCAATCATACCTGGAGGGTCTCTGCGGACTTAACAGCCCTTTGGGCCCTTAGGAGGTCCTCTTGCAACCGCTCAGTGGTACTCTGGAGGGAGCGAACCCGTTCTCGCTCCTGTTCGACGAAATCACGGCGAAAACAAAGTGAGCATTGCTGGCGAATAAACACAATTGTAGCGCGTTAGTCACCAGGGGGAACGGAGGCTACAGGACACGACCAGCAAGTTGTGCAACAGTGACTTCCAATGCTTTCCCATATTAACGGGCTTCAGCACTCCCCAGGTGAGCAGGCGTGTGGTCTAATATAATGCTTTGGAAGTGTATTTTGTTCTGATTGGACGTGGACTTCGCCCGTGACTGCTGTGTCAGCCAGAAGATATACAAATGAGGGCCAAGACCTCCGTTTTTTTACCTCCTCGAGTTGGTCTTTGATCTCTTGGCGGGCGGACCTTTCCTCTTCGAGAGCGGCGAGTGAAGCCGCAAGACTTTGTTGGAGCTCTTCCTGTCTGTTCCGGGGTGGAATGATGGCGTCAGTGGCGCAAGGGGAGGAGAACGTCGTAGTTTTGGCACCCCTGTCGATCCTTCCTGTGCTACTGTCTATTGGGGTGCAGGAAGATCAGAGCGGTATGTTCACCGGAAAATGTCGATGATAACACCAAAATGGAGGGTGAAAACTGATGAAACACGCGGCCATCGATGCCTTCTGTCGGATTGCACAACTTGACACGTTTGGCATGCCAGCTCCTGTTGGGATTAGTCAGGCTTGTGGCGTAAAACGCGTATTCTACATACCTTGAGCTTCAGATGAACTTAGATTGCCCAGCCTTCCCCCCAACTGCAGCGATATGTCTTACGCACCCGCCTACCTCGTAACCGCCGCGTCTCGTTCGCTCTCTGCTGCTCCTATTTTCCCCGACATTTCGTCCGCTCTATCTGCCTCCTCCTTCCATCGTCCCACCTCAGCCGACAGACGTCTCTCGTGCACACGGACCCGAGCCTCCAGGCCACGAGTTTTCTCTTTCTGTTCCTCCTGTTCCGTGCAACATGCCAGTCAACGTAGAGGGCTTACAGCACAGGAGTCATTCCGACTCAGATTTAGGGGATCAAAGCCCTAATGAGGTCGAGGTGAAGGCTGGCCCTCTGTTGGGTTGATGAAATAGATAGCAGGCTGAGGTGCGCAGCAAGCAATCGCCGGAAGTTTGATGTGCTTGCGTTGAGACGCAAATGCACCACAATAAACGCTCGTCTGGCCCAAGGGTCCACCGCAACAAAGGCAACACAAGCCCTGTATGCCCTTGGAAAGTGCTGTCCCTGCCAAGGGGAAGAATCTTGGTTCTTTGGCATATTGGTCCATGCATCCCGATGGAAAAGATGGAAAATCAAGTCCTTTGCCGGGCCGAACCCCGACACTCAAGGAAGTTTTCTGCTTTCATCCTTTTACCGTTGTTAAGGCCCGCTGGGCGTCGTTTGAATACCTTGCGTATAGCCGCTCTTCTCGCGCTCACATACATACGTGGGGTGAAATCTGTGAGTTGATACCTAATGCTCGGTCCGCTGGTTAGTGCAATCGATGTCTACGTGTAATATTCACACGGAGACCCGCATACCTGAAACCACCTGTCCGCCAAAATCCCTGCTCCATGCCCCGCTGGGTGATACGCGCAGGGATCTGCACGGAGGGCTTCCAGAGCACGCAGGGCTTCGGCCGCAGCCGGTCGGTCTTCTGCGTGCAACCTAAGGCAGCTCTCAAGCAGTGGTTTGAGCAGGGAGAAGCGGTCTCCTGCCTCGGCCACCTTGCGTGATCGGAACGGGGTCAAAAACGTAGTCAGCTCCCATTGTTGGTCATATGCACGCGTCTTTTTGAAGAGCATTCCATCATGAAAACTCGGCGTCTTTTCGGCAGTACAATGCATCAAACTGTGTTGGAACCTGTAGAATCGACGAGAGAACCAAAGAGCTTCGGTCGCGGCGATTTCAAATTCCGCAGCAGGTATTTTTCATCAATCACGTGTATATTCCTGCGCGCCACGTTTCCTCACAATCTTTCCGCCGGTGCTTCCATTGACTCGGTAACTCGATCCATCACCTTTACCTCGCTTGGGAAAGGAAAACTCCAATAGCTTGCCTGTTCTTTCCTTGTGTCTAGTCGAGGGTATTCTCCCGTGATTAGTTGGGCCAGCAGCACCCCGAAGCTGAAGACGTCAATCTTGAACGCAACGACACCCACGATCAAGCACAAGCAACGATAGTATGTGAGACTGCTGTAGTAAGTTGTTGCGTCTGGATACATTTTCCTCAAGCACTTGTCCGTTGGCAACGAGGGTGACCAGAACGCAGTAAATATGATACTCTTGAAAAGGTCTTCCGGGTAAAACTCGCAGCAGCATTTAGTTTGGAGCAACGATCGTTTTCGACACAACCACAATCGTCGAGGGTTAGTCCGATCTCGAGTCAATGGCCCTTGTTTTGCTGAAGAGGCGCTGGGTCCTGTGCAGGAAGCGCCCGTTTCAACCACTCACGCTGCTGCTGTAGCGACCAGTTAACACTTCCGGTGCCGCATACACCTTCTCCGAAGAGGACAAACGCAGGTGAAAAACAGCCGACCGGACGTACATGCGTTTCCTCACAAGAACGTTTTGAACACAGTATAGTTTCAGGTAATTGTCTCGAAGTGGACGCCACCGAGCAACACCAACGCAGAGACATACCATAGTCTAATTATTGCTGCCGTGCAAGTTAGTCTATCTTCATGTAGTGGCTCTACGGGGGTGCGTGGAAGTAGCAAGAAAATTGAAGTGAATACAGATGTCTCGAGAAACGCTAGGACCACGTGCCAGGGAGCTGCACGCATTTACAGTTGTATCGCTGGGTTGGCTAAAGGGTGTGCATGCTGCACACACAGAGAAACAATTTGCCTAGGCAACCCACCATCGCTCCAGGCATGGCCGTCTGCTGGGTGCCTCCCACTGCCGATGCCACACCCATAGCTTTCGCTTGTCCCAAATCCGCCAGCTTCGCTGTTCGACCGTCGTACAGAACGTTTCTCGAGGAGAGATCTCGGTGTACGATAGCAGGCCTGATGGTGAAAGGAGCCCGTTTGGATATGATGTGGGATGTGGCAAGGTGTCGCGGTGGCGGGCAAGCAGATGTCGCTAGAAGATCTGTTTGCTGGCGCGAAACGTAGTCGCCTTCGCCAAACAAAAACTGGTACAACTAAGGCGTAGTTTCTTGCCCCATTCACATCGACGTGACTATCAACATGAACGCGTTCTTGCATGGTCTTCACCTCTGGCCGTGGATGTACACCAAACCCGAAGTGATATCGCTAGCCAAGTCCAATACTTCGTGTTGCTCCAAGCTCACTCCTCTTGTTTCGAGCAGGTCGTAGACGCTTGAGGGCATGAGCCTACGATGTTCGTGTTCCGGTGCCATAAAAAAGTCCAGATTTCGATCGCCAAGTTCGCAGAGTTTGCCAGCCAATACGAAGATGCAAGCACGTTCACATGACCATGCCAGCAATACTCCACACCCACCCCGAAAACGTTGTTTCAAACTTTTTTTTTCAGAGGAGAACCGTGCCTTATCTGTGGTCTGACCGTGAAAGGATATTCCTTGACGGTCGATGAATATGGCCGGCTGTGTCACCTAGCCCGTCTTCTGGTGTGCTTTGGTAGTGGCTTTCCATGGGTCGGGCAAGCCCTAATGGAAATGTTATGGATCGCACGCCGTTTGTGTTTCATAGACTATGCTTGTTCATCCTCGACAGAAATAAATATATCGGGTTAGACGTTACGAGTACATTGAATTCATCATACACACCGGGCTATGAAACGTGCGCCATGCGGCAGCTGAGAAATACCGACATCACCTCCACTCACTCGGTTATGATGCTCCGTGGGTTGTGGGTGTGTGGGTCGTACGTAACGCCCAGGAATAAAAGGAGGTTTGGGTGTCGAAGGCTTGCCAGGAGGCTCATTTCTTTGAGCAGGTCCCGGCGCACCGCCGCTGTCTGCTCAATGGATAGACTCGCCGCTGCTTCGGCCCCGCTAAGAGCATGCAGTTGCTTTGCTGCCACCCTGTATAGGTTGAGGCGTCGACACGTACATATTTCAACCGGGGCTCGTTAGACTAGTGGTCTCTCACGCAGTACCGAGCTCGGTCACACAAAGGAGGATTTGTGGTGGTTATCCTCGCACAAACTTCCTGGATAACCCTTGGGTTGTGGGCCCGAATCTCTCAAGGGTAAATAACTATCAACCTATGAATAGAAGTGACATTTTCATGGTCATGAGAACACACAATATGGAGAGAAGGGAGTGTTGACCCCCCGTGGAAAAGAAAGAAAAATCTTTGATGTCCTCCTCCCGTATAATCCCAGCTGGTGCTTCCTACGTAGAACATACGGAAAGCGTGTGACTAGTGCCGCATAGAATATTCTAGACGGCTTTTGTGTATGCATTGATCATCGGTTAGCGTAGTCGATTCTGCTCTAGGAAATAGACGCACACTGGCAGACGTTATGAACATTTGTGGCGGAGCTAAACATTGTTTCTTGAAAAAAGCTCGGTTGTACATACTTAAGTCGTGTGGCATATGATATCTGACGTGCTTTGGAGCACCATGGCGATCCTGCGTCCTTACCTCCTGCGACCTGCGACATTAGGTGGTGGATTCAATCGTACATTCACACGCGTACTGCACGTTGCCTTGAGGGCTTTCTCAACGAGCAAAGAACGTACCATTACATCTCTCTCACCTCACCCCTCTCCATGTAGCGACTCTAACCTCTCCGTACGACCCGCGACCCAGCACTCCTTCTTCACCCTGTTGGATTGAAACCTCTGACGTGGTAAAAGCCCATTCTCGAACCAAGAAATCCTGTGTCCTCGCGCGCGGAAGGAGCAAGAAATATACTGGTTTGACTAAACGCGACGCCACCCATGCGGCACCAATCGAAATGGCCACAGGAATGCGGAGGACGTGGAAGCGAAACCAGTGCGCTGACAGATGCTCTTCGAGCGAACCACACCATACAAAGCCTATTGTTGAATTGCTGGCAGCAGCAACACGGCTGGTTCAGGGTAAGTCCAATTGTCCAAACACACACGACACAATGTCGTCGAAAACCTAAACTGGCACAAGCGCAAGCACCAAGTGGTTCAGTAACTCCATTTTCAAGAGTATTGTATATAGCTGAGCGTACTGAGTTGCCTCCGTCAACCCCACATCCCTTGTGCTGTAGGGGGCTCCCCTCCCCATTACATTATTTTCTGCGTGGCCCTCTTCTTTTGAAAAACTTGCCAAAAGGAAAGTACTAAATTTGTTGAGAATAGTGCAACAAATATCGAGGGAAAACCGGTCATAATACGCTAAGAACACCCTAGTGGGTGTAGAAGAGGTTCAGGTAGAACTTGCATCGCCGCGGAGCAGGCTGGCAAGCCGGACAAAAAGTGGGCGATATGCAAACCTCGCTGTCTTCTTGTTAGTTCTGGATAATGCGTGAGTAAGCAAATTTCGGCCTACCGCGCTCGCCCGGGAGCTGGTTGGTCATCGCCCTGGCGTAGTTATAGTAGCAGCTGTTGGCGCCTCTATCGCATTGCTTCTGCTATTTGGTCAAACGTCGGTGAGCGAAAGATATTCAAGTCCTTGTTCAAGTACCAGGGCACACATTCTGTCCATTGTGATCTTGCCGGTGTTTGGGGGTAGTAGAGCTGCGCAATCGCGCGGGGGTGGCCATGAAATAATGGGGTTCAGGGCGTCGGTGGTGTGGATACGACTCGACGCTAGTGGAAGGATGGGGCGAAAAAGGAAACAATACCACGTGCATGCCATTGTACATACTAGACGGGCATACCGACCGCAGGCGCCTCTGTTTCATTTTGGCGGCGATTTCAACGCACCACGTGGCAACACCTGAGAAGGACAGGTGCATAACGTCAACACACAGCAGTAGCAGGGTGGATATTGTTCTCCTCGCGCCAAAAACGAGACGTATATAAGACGTGTATGCAGCGCAATGGGGCGAGTTCTACTGACTGACCCCGGCCGGCACGCTCGATAAAGTCTCTCCGAACACGACGGGTACCTCTACAGTACATCATATGATCGATTTCTGCGGACAAGCAGTTGGGAAACAATGTGCCACCTAGCGAATCCGTGGTATCTCGGGTTTGGCGGCACACGTCCAACGAAAGCAAATACTGCATGTAATATCAACAGAGTTGATGTTGTTGTTTTACTCTTCGTAGCGAACGGGAAAATCGTTGGCTTTGTCTGGCATCCGCTTTGTAGGCGGCCGCCATGTCCATCCATAAATCGTTGGATTGGCTTTCCCTGGCGTCTAGAATCGTTGGCGTTGACTGGCATCCGCTTCATAAGCGGACGCCTTATCCATCGGGCCTCAAACGGGAGAATCGTTGGCTCTGGCTGAAATCCGTTTCGTAGACGGACACCGTATCCATTGGCCGTCAAACGGGAACATTGTTGGCTCTGGCTGGCATCCGCTTGGTAAGCGGACGCCACATCCATCTGGCCTCAAACGGGCGAATCGTTGGCTTTCGTTGACATCCGCTTCGTAGGCGGGCGGCTCGTTAAATAGTTCCACCAACAGGACCTCGGCTTCACGTCTTCATGCTTCATCAGACTCTCGGACCGTCGGTTCCTGGCCAACCAGGACCCGTGGTGCTTCATCGCCTTCGACCATTCGCAATAGACCCCCAGTTGTTTCGTCCGACTGTTGACATTTGTCTTCGGATGATGGTTTTCGCTCTCGAGCCCGAGTCTGTCGACCCGTGTCGGACCGTCAACCCCGCCGTTTTTTCATCCTCGCGGACTCGTCGCCGAACTGTGGTAGTGGCTGGCACGCCACTACCGCCTGGTGACTGGGGTTTCTCTGAAGACTCGTTGTAATCGTCTTTACCATGAGTTTCCGCCTCGATCCGACCATTTCTTTGAGGCGACTTCGGCCCCGACGAAGATACTAGTTTCACCGAGTTATGGGTTTGTTGTCGAATCCCTCGGCGCCCTTGGCTCATGGGCTGTATTCCGCGCCTCTGGCGCTTGCAGCAACCTTGGTTGACGCTGCTCTGCATTTTTCTGCATACTGATGTTCCTCGGAGACCCCCGCGAGTTTGGTTCCGACCGCCTCCTGTTGAGTTGGTTCTGCGCCCCCAACGACCGCTGCTTCTTCTATCTTGGTAACGTTACACTCTTCGGCAAGGATAAGGATTCGGTTAGGATATGGATTGGACTTTAGGGTGTCTGTGCCTCGCTTCTCTCACGCTGATTGGTCTCGCGAGCAGTGTGGCGAACCCGTGCGGCCATTCGTGTTGCCTTTTATATGGGCCTTCAGTCCTTCTTTCGGATCTCATGGACCTCTTTCATCCACTCGTCGGCCTTCTCTCTTGGAGATCCGCGATCTGGCCAACAAAGGCCGTTTGCTCATTGATGATGATAGGATAGTTTCCAAAGTCGATCAAACTTGCGCCTCAAACTCCGCGCGTCCTGGTGGACTTGCTGCCTACTTTCTCAAAGATGCGCGTGTCAGGAATCACGTCTCGATGTCAATGCGTCCGTGGATCTTGCAAGTTTGTGATGCTGAAGCGTCTTGTCACCTCGGTGCAGCCAGGTCGCTTTCCATGTGCTTCGAAACATTTTTGTTGGGTTGATTGACGCGACTGCTTGCACGAAATGGCGGATCCGGCCTTGATTGTCAAGCCTGCAAATCATGTCGTCAGACCTCCGGGTGGCCTACTTTATGGCTTACGTTCCCGTCCGGCCCCCGGGGTATCGACGAGTACCGACTGCTTTGTCGGCCCTCTTCATGTCACGCGTTGTGACACGTACATTTCAGTTGCCGTGCTGGAAAATGTACGTTGTAACGGTCGCGGAGTTTATAGCCGAGGTCACTGCCGGTATCTTGGTCAATCGATATGTCCCACTGTAGGGTTGACTTTTGCCTTACAGTGGTTCCCTGTTTTCCTCGAAACTCTCTCAAGCTACATACGCACGTTTGGCTATCCGCAACGTGGCTACTACTAGGGTCACAATGAAAGGCACGACGACGATCGCGAAACGAAGATGGCGAGACCGAGAGTGAACTCCCCCCTGACCTCTTGATTGACTCGGAATCTTCTCCATCGGAGGACTACATTTCGGACACCGACACTGCGTCAATGATATCAGAGGGAGTCCACAATTATGACCACTCTCATCCCGCCGAAATGGACTCTACCACTAACATCGCCGAAGGTACCGCTGACAGTCCGCAGCCAGCAGACCGAACGCCCACGACTGACAACCCACAACGAAATTCGGAGACCACCGTCATACAACGTCATGGTAATGTACAACTACCCAACGGTGCCGTCCTTGCGGCACCCTTGGTGGCGTAGGGCAACATCAACAATTCACAGAGGTGTCATAACCTCCTTGATCCCACTCTTCGAGTGCCTCAACGAGAGCAACCTACCGCCTAGCCGCAACCCGTGGGGCGACGACCGTTGAGTCGCCACCACATGGGCCTTCGACTTGTGTTGTGCTGTACTGTTGTACGGAGAATGTGTGGGATACTTCATTCGAGGGAGCCCCTTTTCAATGCTTGTCACTGTGATGTGCATGATGTGGATCGTTATTCTTGTTGTACGCCCCCCCCCTCTCTCTTCGTATCGTTGTAAGTGTCGTTGTAGGTGTTTCGCACCCATCGATAATCGACGTCACCAACTGCCGACAACAACTTGGACGCCCGACGCCGTCATTCATCGTCGCCGACTCGGACGCCAGACGTCATGAACCAGCACCAGCACGCCAGATACCAACTCCCCAACCTGGGGGCAGCTTATCCTGCATTGGGACATGGAGGGGGACCGCTGCAGCCTCCCCCCCCGCGCCGCCGGAGTGCCGCGCCCGCCGCCACTGCCGCCGCCGCTTCTCCCGCAGGGAGCGGCGCACCCCGAAGCCCCAGTATCAGCCGGCAGGGCAACAGCAACAGCAGCAACAGTAGCCCCAGCATCACCTGCTTGGGCAGCACCCGCGGTAGTCACCGCAGCCTCACGCGCTTGGGCAGCCGCCGCAACAGCATCAGCTACCGCCGGCCCAGCACCCTAGGCAGCAGCTGGCCCCGCTTCACCAGCCGCACCCGGTGCCCTACTACAAGCCAGTCCAACAGCCGACTTACTAACAGCAGCCGCCCCATCGCTGGCCTGTGCAACTTACGGCGGACCTCCGCACTACCCGGCTCCCCCCGCTTACCCCTACACGCAGCCGCATCCGTACGGTGGGCACGCCGCTCTCCATGTGTATCTGACTCCGCCTCATTAACCCGCCAATAACCCCTGGTTTTGCGGTCGACCTCACCCAGCACAAGCAGCGAGAGGACATCGCGAACAAAGGCACGACGATGATGGGCACCTCGCCCCAGATCCTTTGGTACGCACGTTCTTTTCCAGGGACCGTCGGTAGCGCCGACTGCGGTGCTCAACTTGCGGCAGGACCCCTCCCCATTCAGCGACCGTCTCAAGTAAGCCTTCCGCATGGCGGGCATGGGCATCATCCGCCTCGAGGAAGACGGGCCAATTGCTGCCGGCGCGGGAAATATGATGAATGCCTGGCCACACAACCGCACGCTCTTGCGGTTTGAGATTACCTACAACGTGTTCCCCACGACCATGGCCGTCACGGCCGCCATCTCCCGCGGTCAGGATGTTAAAGTCTACAACCTGAACGGGGGCATGTCCTGGGTGCGGTTGGAACATTTTTCGGTGACCAACGCCCGCTGGTTGGTGAATCCACTCGTTACCGGGTTTCCAGCGTGCACGCTGATCGTGCCCTGGACCACATCCGCTTGCAGGAGGGAGAATCGTGGATCACAGGCCTCAACCACCTCACCCGACTGGCACGCGCAGCGAGCGCACTCTAGGACCGCCCCGACCTCGCGGAAGATCCACACTATTGGATGGTCCTGACTCCCAAGGCCCTTCTCCAACTCATGAACCAGGCCGTGTCGCTATGCTCCCCACAGCGCATGGAACAGGGCACGTCACGCGCCCACCTGGTGGGAGTCATGCGGCAGAGTCGGAACCTGCTCCAGCAGCACCCGATAGACTCCCACGCGCCCGGCTCCCAGCAGATGCGCCTGCGCGGGGAACTGTGTCAGGACTGCTTCCGCAATTTCGTCACGACCTTGGACCAGAACGCGCCCTTCTTCGACCAAGGCGGCAGCCCCCCCCAAGGCACCGTCGTGTCGGTGTTGCAGTTGTCGTCGCGGCGGTTGGCGCCGGGACAGGACACCTTCACGCGCCAAGCCAAACGGCGGAGCTCCTCCATGGCGCTGCTGGACGACGGCGCCGTTCACCTGCCCCTGCAGGATTGCCGCGACTCCGCTACGGACCCGGATACGGAGGACACGGACGCCCAGGTTGGGGAGTTTGACGGCCCCCGATACCGGCCTCGGGCGGCAACTGCGGCCCTCTGCGCACCGCACGACAATCGCCCGCGCGCCGACCGCAACACGTTGGCACCACCCGACTTGCGGAAGCGAGGGTGTGCGCCCCAAGCCGGCGTCCCGGATGACGACGCGAGCGATTCACGGCGCCCGCGGACGCCCGACGGCCCGCTGCCACCCGCTGCCTGGGGACCGCCTGCCGACCGCGGACACTCCACCAGCGACCGGCGGTTGCCACCGGATGCACCGGCACCCGACGCCGACCAGAAGACGATCCAAGAGTTCATTACGACCATGCCAAGAGTCTGCGTTAACCACGTCCGGTGACTCCCGTTCAAGCGTATGGTGCAAGACCACTACTGTCGGTACCAACGCACTGACGACCCCCTTCCCCTTCAGGGCCTGACCCGCGCCCACCGTCTTCCCGGCCCCGCACCGCCGTGGAGGACTTCGACGGCAACCTCCTGTACGCGGAAGAAGGCTGCCCTGGGTGGGTTGCTCTGAACGCCGCGGCAACCGAGGGGGCGCCGGAGGCCCACTCCTGAGGTTTGTGCCCTGGAGAACACCCCTTCGAAGGACTCTCCGGAGAACACACCTACACATCGCGGGCGGGAACCTGTGAAGGATGCTGCTTGCGTGGCCGTCTCTGCAGCCGCTCCCGCCTCTGTTGCGCTGCTGTCTAAGGGCTCCAACAAACCTGGGTAACGGCGTACTTCTAGAACGCTGCTCCGGGTGTAGGGCTGCCGCACCACCGTCTTGCTCGACACCGGGGCACCGGGGGGGGTCGTACGCCCCGGTGGCGCTAGTCCAGGCGGCGGAGCGCACCGAGAATGGGACCGACGCATCGTCGCCAGGCGAGGGCGAGGCCTCCTTCGCGCTGTCATCCCCAGTGACAGCGGCGTTGCATCAACGTCGATCATCGGCACGGCCATACTGCCGCTGGTCTTTCCGCCGGTGGACCTCGTCTTCCGCGCGTGCGTTCGTGTCGTTGAGGGACTGCCGTTAGGTCTGATCCTGGGTGCGGCCTTCATGCGACACTAGGGCAGCATAATCGGCTTTGACCGAGCGGGCGTGTTCAAGCCCACGAGGGGCTCCCACGGCGCACTCTTCCTGCCCCCGGAAGCCGACGACGAACCCACGACCGTGGCGGGGTCGCCTGCACGCGCTACAACCAGCGTAGTGTTCCGCTCTTGTGCGCCGGCAAGTTTGGCGTTCGCTCCGGTCGGACCCGATGTGAACGGACCGGGGTCGTCCTCGCGGCGGCCCGCCCTCCTGCTACAGATGGCGCGGCGGCCCGCCCCCCTACTACAGATGGCGCCGGGCCCACCCACGAGGGGCTTCTGCGCCGTGGAATGGTGCGCTGAGGAGAGAGGGGAGAAAGGTGACGAGAGGTTGGCTACCTCTGCTACCCCAGCTAGCGGTCGCTGAGGAAATTGATCTTAGCTCGACTGCAGGGGATGGAGGACGGAAGCTCGCTGCGGTGGCCGATGGTCCTGGCCCACAAACAGGACTTCGCGGGGAGGGTCAGCGCCGAGGTGGAGGCGCTGCTGCCAGGACCCCAGTCACACGCGGCCCAACTGCTGGTAGTCTTCCCTTTCGGACCTTTCGACTTGGAGAGCGACGCTGAGATCGGCGTCGCCAAGGGGGTTCAATGGTGGACCCCAGGCACCGCGTCGAAGATCAAGCTCGTGAACCGCGCCACGGGCCCCAAGACCGTCGGACAAGGTGTGCAGGTAGCCACGGCGTACGGCACCAACTGCGACGACCTGAAGCGGACGTTTCTCCTCAAGGAACCCGCGCCAACGCTGCTCATGCTTGCCCCGCCGCCCGCGACGGTATACACGCCGCTAGCCAGTCGACGAGCCGGACATGCGCGTGAGCGACGCCAACACCGGGCAGCTCGGCCACCAGAGCCGCCTCTAGCTATTGGCCTTTATTACTCGTGCCGAGGCAATGGGCTGTTCCCCGTCAACCCCAAGATCGTCGCGGCCCTCCCTGCCGATGAGGTGCCGATCCCGTTGGAGCACAAGAGCGTTTCGCCCATTGCGTGCAGACAGCAGCAGTACAACCCCGTCCAAGCCCAGATCGTCAACAAACCAACCGACTTCTGGGTGGAAGCGGACGTCATCCGCTACTCACATTCTCATGATGCAGCCGGACATCCATCGTCAAGAAGAAAGACGATAGCACCGCGTTGCCGTCGACTACCGCCCCCTCAATGATGTCACTAAGGATGATGACGGGGGGCTCGGCGCTTTGGCGACGATGCACCGCCGCACTAATGGTAGCAATTTCTTCATGCTACTCGATTTGCCCTCGGCTTACCACCAGCTCTCCATCAAGGAAGCCGACTGCTACAAGATGGCCTTCATATACGCTCGGGGGCCGCTGTACGGGTTCACGCGTTGCGGCTTCGGCCTCACGATGATCCCCGCCGTCTTCTCGGCCCACCTGGGCGACGCCCGTCGCCCGGTCGAAGCTCGGTCAGTACCTGCGTGCAGCGGCGGCCAACAAGCAGAGTTCGGGCGAGGCATCTATTTTTACTCCAGCTGTTTATGCTCTCGCACACTCCAGCGTGGTCCAGTCCAGCTCGATGGCGCCGTCGATTCGTAGCAGGCGTTCAAGCGCCAGCGGCGCTCTGCCGGCACCGCAGCCCAATACAACAGCCCGGGGGCAGCCGGGGGGCCAGGGCGGTCCGAACGTAATCGTAGCTCTTGAGGCGGTGGCAGGCGTCACTTTCCAGGAGCTCCGGTGTTAGCTGGGGGGCATAGAAGACGGGTAGAGGCGGCATCACCGCCTGGTGGCATACCTCTGCTCGAAAATTCGCGGTCGCGTCGAAGGGTGGCGGGTCGGTATCCTCCCGTGGCGTCGGAGGCGTCAACGTCCGGAGCGGCACACCGTCGAGCACTGGTCCCGCCGGGCCCTGGTTGCCCACCGGGCGGGAGGTGTCGTCAGGGAAGGATGCGTCGACTTGCGGTTCTGGTGTTCCAAGGAGGGCCGCGTCGAACGCTGGCTGGACAACATCCTGTTGCACCGTGGACGAGCACGTTGCACTCATCGAGGAGATTTTCGACCTTCTCCACGAGGCGGGGTACTCGGTGCACTTCAAGAAGTGCATGCTCGGCTTGTCGGAGGGGGAACTCCTGGGAGCCATGGTCGGCAGATCGGGCGTGCGGCCGACGCCATCCAAGATCAAGGCCGTGGAGGAAATGGAGATACCGGCGACGGACGGGGAGGTGCGGTCGCTCCTAGGCTGAAGTCCCGCATGACTCGGCTTCCCTTTTGAGCCCTCAGCTCGTCCGGGTTCTTCCCCCATGCCTCCTGCTCTGCCGGGCTGCCCAGCACCCCGATGGAGCCCAGCATCGAATCCGCCTAGAGGTGTCCGGTGTTTTTTTGTTTTTTTTGGCAGAACAGATGGACAACAAGGCGGACTGAGTGAGTGCTATATTTTGTGGTCGAGTGACTGGGCTGAGCTGACGTTGTTTTTTGGTTTATTTCTGTTTTTCCTTCCCACAATCGCCTTCGCGTGCGCCAAGATCATTAAAATTACGCCAGTACGCACAAATCACGGCAGCGGCAAGGATGCATGATGAGTTCATGCACACATACACACACACTGTCGGGGGGTGGCAGGGCAGGTGGAGGGGAGGAGCATCGCGCGCGAAAATGATACGCGTGACGAACAGGGGATACGTTCAAGCAATCCGTTGCTGGCACGAGAGGACTACAAGCAACATACGAGTATTCTGCCCTCGACTTCGAAGGAGAAATCCTCGCATGTATGGTCCAACAAAAAAGAAAAGGAAAACAAAAAAACCTCAACTTGAGTACTTCAACGACACTATATGAACCCGTACTCATGGACCGAGTTCGGGTATACGCACCAGCAGTCAAACCTCCGTGGTTAAGGACACCGCTTACTTAAAGACACCTCGTCGTCTAAGGGCACAGGTTTTTCCGTCAACCAACGGGTCCCGCAGATTTCCTACGTTGCGGAGGGAGGGAGGGGGGGAATAGGTATGGGGATACAATCATTCGCCCCCTTCGGTCTACGATTAGCCCAATGATTGTTGATACACTTTGCACCCCCCAGGGAGAGCGGTCCGCTTCTTGTGTGTGAGACAGCAGCATGTGAAAGAATCCCTTTTTTGTTTCCTTGCGGCTTCGTCCGCGTCTGTCTGTATTACACAGCATGATGGCACGTGTTGGGCACCAACATGCACGTATTTATTCAGGACGAAAACGTCTTCATACTACAATACAACAGATTCGTATGCACCACTACGCGATGACGTGGCACAAGCATCATTCAGAGGGGCGTGGATCCATCGATGGGGCTACCGCTGTACACTATTTGGAATCATTTCTAACCTCTACTCTCTAGGTCTTCTGCACGGCATCGGCGGCTTATTCGTGCTCGTAAAGTAGCTGTGTGCATGAGCAAAGGTGTCATAAACACGGGGGACCAATCGCAACCTGCGTGCAATAATCTATGCACAGTTCTCGAGAGTCGGCATTGTTCGCCAGTGGGTTAGGACGTGGACCCCAAAATAAACGGCAATTTTGATTTTTTTCTCCCATCATTGGATTCTGTCGTCTGCCCCTCTGGCCCCTATCCTCCACTTCTACTAGCTAGACGACCCAACCGGGGTCACATAGGAGGGGGGGGCTGTGTACCTGCCCAAGAAGGCCTCATGGTCCGGAAGATATCACCGGTCTACGACGGGCATCTTTCTTTTTTTATTGTGGCCCCCCACTGCTGCGGTACTGCCGGAAGCTCACAAACTATTTAGATTAGCAGATCTATGCGTAGATCTATCTAGCTGTAAATCGTTCACGAGACAACTGCTGTAGTTTGTAAGTTCCTCCTTCAGCAGATGCAGCAAATACATGAGCAGTGACAGCTGTTTCTGAAGGAGCGTGCCTGCAAACGTTAACAGCCGAGCGCTCCCGCGCGGCAGCGGTCAGGGCGGTTGTGGAGCGAGAGCATGTACATATCATACGTGCCGGCGAACAAGAGGAGGAGAGTCCTTGAACCCCGAACACGCTCCGGAATAAACAATAAAGCACTGCTGTGATATGTTTTTTTGTAGTATTTGCACTATCTATGATATATATCGTCGCGTGCCTCTTTTCTCCCCATACTGCTGGAATCAAACGTGCGAATACAGCGCCATCCCCCGCCCGTGTCAAGGGTGTGTGCGTGTGCTTTGCCGGGCCCCAACAAAGCTACTCATATGCTCTGGTCGTTTTTTTGTTTCTTGTTTCGGCGCGGAAATATGAATGTTTGCGAGCTTGTCTACAGGTGCGGGTTTGTGCAATACACGGTTTCACTATTTTTTCTCCCACCCATTAATTCCCCCCCCCCCCCCC